ATCACTCTGAGGCTGTGTCCTCAGGTCCTAGTCTCTCCTACTAGTGGAAACTACTGGCTTGGGCACACAATTTGCTTGCGAATGCTGCTCTAAAGTGCGTTGGGATGGTTTCCTATCTTTAAAGTGTTCTATAAATACACATTACTCCTGTTAATTATGCACTGCATGTTGGAAAATCCAGAGACTTGAAGACTATTTTGCTATTCAAGAGAAAACAGATGAATTTTCTTGCTCAATGATAATAGTGGGGGTGATGCATTATAAATTACTCAGGGAGTCTGTGTTACAGTTAACATGGATTTCCACGTATGTTACAGACTAGAGCTATGTACAGTGATGGTAAAGTCCCAACGTCCATTCCACCATATGGCTGACCAGCAGCCATTCCCTGTTTAACTGCCTGCCTTTGACGTGTGAAGGATTTGCAGGTTGACCCTCAATCTGTTTGGCCATGATATGAACACACCTTCTCTTGACCATCAAGGCCTGGAAGGGGACATGAAACCTGAACTTCCAGCTCAGAGGCAGGGACACCACCCACTATGTTATTAGCCATCCTTGAAATAAGAATAAAAATCACTTTTAACCCATTTCCAATTTGTTCTCCATTAAGAAATCTAAAGTTTCACCTTGTGTAGGGGTTGTCTATTTATGTCAGCTGGGCAGTTTCTCTGAATTTGAACTCCAGGTCTCTCAGTTCAGCCACACACTGCATCTTTTATCAAGGGAACTCGCATGTCTTCTCAAAGTTCATTATTCACCTTTCAAACTGCATGATTCCTGTCTATCTGCTTCACTACTTGCCAAATCCCTGTGACGTTTGAGTCATTAGCAATGTTCAATGCTCTGCTCCCTACAGTCATCTATATAGGCATGAGGCGGGGACAACTGATGTGAATGGAGATCTAGTCCTTAGAATACTTAAAACCCTTTACCTGATCTGGACAGACTTTAAACTTAAATACTTATTCACTTTCCATCAGTCATACCTTCTAATCATGCTTCCTTTATTTTTATTGTGGATTGTGTTAATCAACCTGTTATAACACACCTTTGGTGCAGGTGGGACTTGAACCCTGGCCTCCCTGTCCAGAGGTAGCAACATTATCGCTTACAACAGCCCCTCCTCTTGTATCATATGCCGATATTATTTAGTTTCAAACCTTTCATGAGCCACATCATTGAGTACCACCTGAAATTCCTCATTCACCAAGCTCTTGAATTTCATTCCCTTATAACCTAATCACTCAAAATCCTGTCTGTATTGCAGAGACAGCTCAAAGGGCTGAATGTCCTATTGTTGCTCCTAAGTCTGAGATTACTATATCATGGTGTAGATCTTCAAAAAGCTCACTTAACTTAGACACATCTTTCAGGAAATCCTTCATTAGCCACAAACCTCTGGGCACTTGGAAATCTGATCTGGAACTGATGTCAAATGACCCTAAGAACTAGTGCATAAGTGATAGGAGACTACGTGATTTATAGTGACCAGTTCATCTCTCTCCTGTTCATTGTAACATTGATCACTTTGAGACCAAACATGTCTATCACGACAAAGCACACATGATGTTATGGAGGTCCATTTTCAGCGCATCACATTTTCCCCCCTCTCATCCTGTACTTATGGGTTCCTTCAATTTATCACCCCAAATATACATCGCAGAGCCCAGACAGTGAGTACTGCAAGGCTCTAGAGTCAAATACCAGAACCACAGACAAATAGGATTCTTGTTCTGATTAGGAGTCTGGGTTTTCTGAATGACAACAACTTTCATTTATATGGCACCTTTAACATATTGAAGGCATATTATCAAACAATGTTAGACATTGAGACACGTAAGGAGATGCCAGAACAGATAGCCAGAGGTCTAATCAATGAAGTGAATTTTAAGAACATCAGAAACTAGAACAGGTGTAGGCCATTCCACTCCTCATTCCACTCCATTAGATCATGGCTTCAACTCCATTTTCCTTCCCACCTCCTCATTGACTTCAGCTCCCCTATCGCTCAAAAAACACCATCAGCCTTGAATATCTTCAAACTCTCAAAGGCAAAGTTCCAAACACTCTCTACACAGAAGAAATTCCTCCTCATTCCCTTCTTCAAGGGTTAACCCCTTATTCTGTAACAGAGTCCTCTAGTTCTGGAATTCCCTCTGAGCGGCTAGATATTTGTCTCTCCAAAGGTGCAGACCGAGTTGTGAAACACTGAACTTAGTTGCTTTTTGTTGGAAGTAGAATTTTCCAGGGGTGGCATTGGTGGCTCAGTGGTTAGCACTGCTGCCTCACAACACCAGGGACCTGGGTTCAATTCTACCCTTGGGTGACTGTCTGTGTGGAGTTTGCACATTCTTCCCATGTCTGTGCGGGTTTCCTCTGGGTGCTCTGGTTTCCTCCCACTGTCCAAAGATGTGCAGGTTAGGGTGAATTGGCTGTGCTAGATTACCCATAGTGTGTGGGCTTGATGGGTTGGCCATGGGAAATGGGAGATTATGGGGTAGGGTGCTCTTTGGAAGGTCACTATGGTCTAAATGGAATCTATTCACACTGTAGGGATTCTATGATTCCTGACTCCATGACATTTTAGTGGGTTCTTTTGATTGGCCTTGAGTGCAAAATACAAATGCATTGGTGCACATGAAAAAAATTCCCCACATCTCCTTGGGGAGTTCATGACCACTGTTATAGGGGGAGATGTGGGTGGGGTTATAGCCTGCTGAAGAGTCTAGTACTTTCTGGAAGGTGGCTGTAAATTACTGTGATGACTTTGGGCCAAATGCTGGCAGGTGGGACTAGATTAATTTAGGATATCTGGTCAGCATGGACAAGTTGGACTGAAGGGTCTGTTTCCGTGCTGTATGATTCTATGACTTGTCTGTCATGTTTTAGATGCTGTCAGAAAATTCAAGGAGATCTACTCAACACCCACCCTTTCGAGCTGTCTTAGAATCTTACACCTTTCAATAAGACTACCTCTCACTTCTTCTAAACCCCAATAAATATGGGCCCAAGTTACTCAACCTTTCTTTGTAAGACAACCCCTTTCATCTCAGGAATCCTCCTGTTGAGTCTTTTAACTTGGAATGGGTCGGTTGTCTAATGGGGAAAAAATTTATACAGGCCAGCCTCGCATCCACTGCAGTTTGTAACAGAAACAGGCAGCTTGATTGAAACATATAAGATTGAGTGTTGTTCATCCGTATTGTCCAAGCTGGAGGCACCAGAGCAGCAGATACATGGCAACACCATCCCCTGCAAGTTCCTCCCCAAGTCCTAGGAAGGATGTTATTAAACTTGAAAGGGTACAGAAAAGATTTACAAGGATGTTGCTGGGGTTGGAGTTATAAGGAGAGGCTGGGACTTTTTTCCCCAAAGGTTAGGAGGCTGAGGGAGTGACCTTATAGAGACTTATAAAATCATGAGGGGCATGGATAGGGTAAATAGTCAAAGGCTTTTCCCCAGGGTAGGGGAGTCCAAAACTAGAGTGCATCTAAGGTGAGAGGGGAAATATTTAAAAGGGACCTAAGGGGCAACTTTTCACACAGAAGGTGGTGCGTGTATGGAATGTGCTGCCAGAGGAAGTGGTAGATGCAGGTATAATAGTAACATTTAAAAGACATTTGGACAGGTACGTGGATGGGAAAGGCTTAGAGGGATATGGGCCAAATTCAGGCAAACGGGACTAGTTTAATTTAGGAAATCTGGTCAACATGGACGCGTTGTGCTGAAGGGTCTGTTTCCGTGCTCTATGACTCTGTAAGTCATCCAACTTGGGGCTATAACACTATTTCTCCACTGTTGCTGAGTCAAAATCCTACAAGCTCCCTCTCTCACAGCACCGTGGGCATCCCTAAGTGCCAAGGATTGTGGCAGCTCACCACCAACTTCTCAAAGGCATTTGGGGATTGGGCAATAAATACTGGCCCAGCCAACAACATCCATATCCCACGTGTGAATTAAAAGAAAGGATGTTTTTGAGGGTAATTTTAGAATTCGAGGGCTTTGTTGAAAAATAGACGGTCGCCCATTCAAGACAGAGCTAAGCAGAAATTGCTTCTCACAGGGGGTTTGGGAACACTGTCAAAAGGCAGCAGAAGCAGAGTGTTTTCAAATCTTTGTAAAGTACAGGTAGCTCAGTTGGCTGGATGGTTGGTTTGTCGTAGAGAGTGATACCAACAGCATGTGTTCAATTCCCTCACTGGCTGAGGTTATCATGGAGGACTCTCCTTCCCAACCTTTCCCCTTGCCTGAGGTGTTGCAGTGTTATGTCCCCACCTCTGAACCAGGGGGCCTGGATTCAAGTCCCACCTCCTCTAGAGCTGTGTCATAACATCTCTGAGCAGGTTGATTGGGAAAATATCTAAACTTCCACCAGTCGTCTCTGTCTCTCGCTAATGAGAGAGCAGCCCTCTCACAGTATGGCGACTTTACCTTTGAAAGGTGCTACATAAATGCTCGTCGCTGTCTTTCTCGCTACCAGAAATTCACTTGCGCAAATCGATATTTATTTATTTAATTTAAAAAAAATTTGCTCATGGGATGAGGACGTCACTGGCTACGCAGCATTTATTGCCCATCCCTAATTGCCCAGAGTCAACCACATTGCTGTGGGTCTGGAGTCACATGTAGGCAAGAATGGCAGTTTCCTTCCCTAAAGGACGTTAGTGAACCAGATGGGCTTTTCCCAACAATCGGCAATGGCTTTACGGTCATCATTAGACTCTTAATTGCAGATACTTTTATTGAATTCAAATTACACCATCTCTGATGGCAGGATTTGAACCTGGGTCCCCAGAATGTTATCCAGGTCTCTATATTAACAGTCCAGCAATAATACCACTGGGCCATTGCCTCCCTGGGACTTGTCTGTATGCAGAGTGTTTTTAAATTTAGGTTTCATTTCTCAGCTCAAAGTGCGTCTTAACTGAACGTCCATTTAAGAATGCCATTGAGTGATTAATAAGCTTTACAGCAGACAAGACTAAAAGTTTACTAACCAGGACAGTTTGGCATGTCGCATGACCTTGATTCAGTGGCAGTACAGGCGTAGCCACAGGACCGGGTACGCTTTTGGTTGCCACTGCCACAGGTTACGCTGCAGAGCGACCATGGGCTCCAGTCACCTTCTCCATCTGTGTAATCTGCACGGAAAGTAAGCACATTGGCAGTTAGCTACCATGGCGATGAGACGCATAATTGGGACCACATGCTCAGTTCGGAGCTCGGGGCCCAGGTCCAACCGTACGCATGCCATTCCGATAACTTTCACACACATCGAGCTGCACAAAAGGATTGCTTGCACATTTTTGATTCCGTTCTCTCAGAGCCAAGGCCAGCTGCAATGCTTCAACCATTAATCTTGATTATGGAGCTCGCAGTCTTTGTGACTGACCTCTCCCCACTACCAGAAAGGGAGCATGTCATCCAGAAATTAAAAACGCATTATTGCTCCTGGAGACGACTAAGAGAGAAGTCTGAGGTCGGGGGTGGGGGGGCGCGGAGAAACTGGGACAGGTTGGTTTGCTAGAAGTTAGAAGATTCCCACTCAGCCATCGAGACAATAAACGAAATAAGGTTTTTTTGCCACACCGACACAGATGGTTTTGTAGCACAGCTTGCTCTCTATCAATCATTGCCCACACAGTGTTTCCCACTGTAGCGTGTACCTATTTCGTTTCACTTGGCTTGTTCCCAACAGTTTTCTTTCCCAGTTTCACAGAAGCCTGGAACCAAAGTAAGGAATGTTGACGTACCATACTCAACCTGTCCCTTGGACTGCCACCTGCGCTGGGTAACTGTCCTTCTATCCCAGCTGTCCACAGGATTCAGGAAATTGCTGTTCTCGCCAGCCTGGCTGCTTTCCTGGTGGTCGCCGTTGCTCCGAGCCGCGTTTGCCGATGATTTCTGCCACCAGTTCCTCCAGTCGGACGATGGCACAGGCCAGCTTGGCTTGGTCACCCTGCGCAAATCTCTCTCAGCCTCAATTTCCGTCCCATCAACCACCTCAATCGTGACCTGGATGGTTCAAAGTGAGGCATTGATAAATGGCAAGTGCACACATTCACACATATAGACTCAAACAGGTTCAATGAGGACGGCATGGTAGCTCAGTGGTTAGTACTGCTGCCTCACAGCGCCGGGGACCCGGGTTTGATTCCACCCTCGGTCTGTGTGGAGTTTGCATATTCTCCCTGTGTCTGTGCGGGTTTCCTCCCACAGTCCAAAGATGTGCAGGCTAGGTGGATTGGCCATTCTAAATTGACCCATAGTGTCCAGGGATGTGCCAGTTAGGTGGGTTAGCCATGGGGAATGTAAGGATAGGGAAGGGGGTCTGGGTCTAGATGGGATGCTCTTTAGAGGGTTGGTGTAGACTTGATGGGCCAAATGGCCTGCTTCCACACTGTAGGGATTCTAAGATCAGAAGAAATGGTAACAGTCTATTCAGACTGGTCCACTATTCAACAAGATCATGGTTGTTCTTAATACTGAGTAAAAACAGAAATTACCTGGCTCTGAAATACCTTGAGAAAGGTGTAGCATTGTTGTATTTGCATGGCAAATACAAATTAAATCCACCTCACAGAATTGAGTCTGTCACTTCAATTCTAAGTACCTCTGTACCAATGTATTTAGTGTGAATTGCTGCTAATTAAGATCTCTCCAGTACTGGAAACTAACTTTGGAGTCTCATTGGTACAGGTTTTAATTGTTGCTGGAGATTTTTAAAACAAAATCTTTTTTTAAAAAAAAATGAAGTTTGCTTTCTGCCTTTTTTCACTTTCGCATTATCCAGTCGTTCTTTCCTTTTCATTTCTCTTTCTGTACCTGTAACTGACATTAAATCCACATCCCATTTCCAAATACTTCTTCCTCAATCTTTGCCCAGTTAATTTCACAGTCCTACAAGTTAATTGTCTGAAAAGCTGCACAATGATTTGTCATGTTCTGGACATGAACCTGAGACTCACTGTGCCATTACTAGCTCACAACTCCAACAACTTACAGCACCCGCGACCTGGGTTCGATTCCAGCCTCGGGCGACAGTCTGTGTGGAGTTTGCACGTTCTCCCCGTGTCTGCGTGGGTTTCCTCCGGTTTCCTCCCACAGTCCAAAGGTGCACAGGTTAGGGTGGATTGGCCATGCTAAATTGCCCATAGTGTCCAGGGGTGTGCAGGTTAGGTGGACGGGTCTGGGTGGGATGCTCTGAGGGTCAGTGTGGACTTGTTGGGCCGAAGGGCCTGTTTCCACACTGTAGGGATTCTACGATTCTATGAACTTGCCATGACCAAAGTTTTGAGACCTAAATGAGCAAAGGCACATCTAAGTAACAGCATGTGATGTTAAATCCCTTGCCAATATCCTGCCTCATGGATTAGTAATACTCATATTGACATCTGTTAGTCCTCAGATGGTAAGTTCCTGTTGTTAGCCCGATTACTGGGAGTATTTCAGTGCAGTACTGAAGGAATGCTGCTCTCTGACGTGCCACCTGTCAGATGTTATCTCAAAGCCGCATGAGGTGGATGTTAAAAGATTGCGTCAGGTTGACGCTGAGACACACACGAGCTGCACAGAGGCAGATGGGAGTGAATCATTCTGTGTTACCTGCAGTGCCCTGGGCATGTAGAGTGAAGGAACCTAACACAGCTGACTGATGAAGGGACGGAACAGTTTGAAGGGAGATGGAGGGGTGAGGCCAGGGAGGGATTTGAACACAAGAGGGTGCAGAAATATCAAACACAGCTGTCGTTGAACCAGGAACTAATGCATGTCAGTGAGCCCAGGTAACGATGGGGAAATGATTAAAAGGCATCTCGATAGGCACATGAATAGCAAGATTTTAAGAGGGATTTGGGCCAAATGCTGGCAAATGGGAATACACTAATTTAGAATATCTGGTCTGCATGGATGAGTTGGACCGAAGGGTCTGATTCTATCCTATACAGCTCCTTAGCGCTATAGCTAAGAGCTATTCACGCCGCTCTGGACAATATTTGACCCTTGACCAAAATCGCTAAACACAGATAAATGGCTATTATGACATTGTCCTTTGTGAGAGCTTGCTGTGTGCAAATTGGCTGCTGTGTTTCCTCTATTACAACAGCAGGTACAGAAAAGTGCTTTGTTGCCTGTAAAGTGATCAGAGTGATCCAGAGGTCATGAAAAGGACTCTATAAATGCAAATCTTTCCTGAGTGTGGACATTTTCCCCTCACAAAGATGTTGATGGGCCCAGTAACCAGACTTAGAGCGTAGAGCTGTACAGCGTGGAAACAGATCCTTTGGTCCAATACGTCCATGCCGACCAGATATCCCAAATTAATCTAGTCCTGTTTGCCAGCATTTGGCCCATATCCCTCTAAACGCTTCCTCTTCCTGTACCCATCCAGATGCTTTTTAAATCTTGTAATTGTACCAGCCTCCACCTCTTCCTCTTGCAGCTCATTCCATACACACACACACACACACACACACCACCCTCTACATGATAAAGTTGCCCTTTAGGTCCCTTTTATAACTTTCCCCTTTCACCTTAAACCTATGCCCTCTGGTTTTGAACTCCCCCACCCCAGGGGAAAGACCTTGTCTATTTATCCTATCCACGCCCCCCATGATTTAATAAACCCCTATAAGGTCCCTCCGCAGCCTCTGACGCTGCAGGGAAAATAGCCCCAGCCTGTTCAGCCTCTCCTTATAGCTCAAACCCTCCAACCCTGGCAACATGCTTGTAAATCTTTTCTGCACGCTTTCAAATTTCTACAGGATGGTAACAAAATAGTGCCGGTGGGAACCTCTAAATTGCTCTTTGGTCTGCCCATCTTGCTCAAGGAATTAAAATAAAAACCCCTGCATTTATGTAGTACCTTCCACTGGATGAATCCAAGTGCTTTAAAGACAATGACGTACTGTTGGACATGCACTACTATTGTCGTGTAGGACATGGATGGCAGCCAATTTGTGCGTGGAAAGCTCCCACAAACAGAAACGTAACAATTACGGGATAATTTGGGTTGTTTCTTTGCCTGGAAGGTAAATCTTAGCCCCAACACACCAGTCTTCTGCTTTTCTTCAAAATGGTATGTAGTGGAATTTTTTTACATCCACCTGAAGTTGCGGGGATGGTGTGGGGTCAGGGGGTGTTGGAGTAGTGGTTGTGGGTTTTAGGGATACAATTTAACATCTTGTCTGAAAGAGGGCACCTCCGGCAG